AGCTCTTTTCAGTGACCCATCAAAACGTCTGCTGCTAAGCAAATGTGAAAAGTCATTTTCTACCTGCGCTCTCTTGTTGTTTCCAGCCTCCTCTTCCCTCCCTCCACCTCAGCTCCTCTTTGCTGGATTTCCACCTTCTCCTCCCATCTCATCTCATAGTGTTTTCCTTCTCTTTGTTTCAGACTCTGAGACCACAGAGGATGAGACCACAGAACCTCAGATGGAAACCAAAGAAGGGCCCGGGAGGCACCATGATAAGGCTGGCCGGAAAGGACCTTCAGGTATTTTATTTAAACTCCTTTTTTTCCCTTTTTTTAAAAGCTTATGTAAGTTTGTGGTTTCGAGGCTTCGTTTTTCTTTTTTGAAGTCATATTTTCTAGTTGCAAGCTTGCACTACTTAAAGAAAATATTCTGCAGCTCTTTGTCCAAAATGATATTTAGCCAGATTTACAGCTCCACCACCAACATCTCTGCCAAAAACACACTTGTATAAAATTATGATAGATAGATTTAATGGAGGCTGTTATCATGCCGGCCCAAAACGTGCGCTGGATGAAATCCGATATGGCAGAAGGCATTAATCCCTCATGGTGTGATGCAACAGTGTGACACACTGCCCTAGTTTCAAGCAGGGAACCTGTCTCAGGTCTGGAGCTCTCTGTGTGGCTCCACAGGGGAACGTGCTGTCCGACAAAAATGGGACTATTTCTGCTGGATAAATGAGGCTGAAACAAATGCATGCTATGCCAATTAAAATGTAAATGTACATCGTTAAGTTTAAATAGAGGTACGTTAATGAACAGAGATCAGGTGGAACGGTCCAGTGGGTTGGTGAATGTTATGTTATACTCACCTAAAAATGAGGTGCTGCATGAGATTTCTTTCTTTCACAGTTTGCCGTGCTGGTGTAGAGCTTCAACAGCTCAAATAATCAGTGAATTTACTGGCTGGTTGATCATCTTCCAGCTTCTCCAGTGGGAGGATTTGCTTTGCTTTTCTCTCTAAATTGAGGATTTTTGCAGTTTGGACTACTGGTTGGACAGAAAAAGACACGGGAAGCCATTTCTTGGATAACACATATTTGGGAAATCGTAAATTATTGATAGTCTAAGACCTACTATTGTTTTTTTTTTTTTTAAATGAAGGTATCATTCATGGATGGATGGATGGATGGTATCATATCTATCATATCTATTATAATGCCACCCAGAAGTTAGTGGTTTGTGAGCTCTCCCTTCTAGTATTATGGCCATTACTGTTTTGGTCTTTTGGAGGAGAAATGAACACATTTGGACAAGAACCAAAATCTGCACAAGTGCATCACACAGATACAGATACATGGTATTTAGATTTCAGATAGTACACAAACACACTAAGACTACTGCACAGACTTCTTAGAGGAGCTGTTAGTGGACGTAACTTTACAGCAAGTCAAAGCACAACTTTAAACTTTGATAAAATTTAAATGGTGGAGTTATCCAAAGATGTGTGGCCGTCATAGAAGGGGAAATTAGTCGTAAAAAATGAAGCTGGGCATTTTAACATGGGCGATTGACCTGCAGGGGGAGCCAGCCTCAAGTGGCTTTTTGAGTAGCTGTGCACTGCGCAAAAGATTTGAGGCAACCTACACTGATGGTACTTTCCTGTGCTCATAATTCCATCGACTTTAACGAAACCCCCTATAATGACAGAGCGTCCACCGTGCTTTACACATGGCTGCAGACACCTACGCATTCAACAATTTGGACCAAAAAATTTCAAATTTCGATTTGTCACTCCTGTTGCCAATGTACACTCTGGTTCTTCCCTTGAGCTAGGTATCATTTTGTGCTTTAATAATTCATGGGTCAAGTATGCCCACAAACAAAAAGCATTAATCTGAAAATGGTCAGGTACAAGGACTGGACTGAAAATGAGTGAAAAAGCAGACTAAAACTTTGAAAGACCTTCAGAAAGCCTGGAGAACTATTGCTCGAAAGGAAGCAAAATATAAAGAAACGAGTTGTGGCTCAAGACTCAGCACAGTAATCCATATTGGCTTCATTCTTCAGCCACAGAAGTGTCTTTTCATCATCTTTAATTCAAACTCTCAGGATCTCAATAATTCGATTTTAATATAATTTTGACTTTAACAGAGGTCTCCGTTCCCAAGCTCTGTATCTCACAGTCGTGGGTTTGGGATTCTTTTTGGATTTCAGAAGAATGTTATTTAGTCCAAGAGCTTCTCAGTTTTGTTATTCATACTTTCTATGCTTGTCTCCTGTGTAAAGTCAACCTTTTCTCCATGTTTGTTTACATTTTGTCTTCGTGTCAGATTTGAATGTTTGACTCTTGGTGTGTCAGCGTTCACTAGTTCCTGTTTTATTTTGATAGTTTCTTATTTTGTGTGCTTTGTATTGAGTTTTACTTTCCCGCTCTCATTATTCTGGATTTGTTGGTATTTCCTTGTGTATTTTTCTTTATCCGAGTCTCGTCTTATCCATGTCCTTTCTTAATGCTGTGTGCTCCCTTATTCTGTGTTTTCCCTTTGACTCAAGCCCGTCCTTGTTTTTGTTTGTTTTAAGAAAAGGCTTCAGCAATAAAGCTGCTCTTTAATTTTGAGTCCTGTCTCCCAAGTCCTACATTCTAGGTCAAATGTTAAACTCCTCAAAGCCCCCAGCATTTGATTTCCTCCTTTCTGTAATAACAGCCCAAATTAAAGCTACTGTAAAGAAAATCCTTCTTCCATCCAAGATTTTACAGTTTGGAAATCGCGCTTATTCAACTAAAGCAATGAATTAAGTTATATATTTCATCCCTGCTCAAGATTTTTTTTTTGTTGCTAAAATAAAATTGCATATTGACTAATGGGTACTGTGTGAGGCAGTTTACTTGATCTAAAGCAAATCCGATTAAGCCTAAAGAGCATTAAATTTGATACAGGAGAAAAAAGAAATGCAAATCCTCTGGATCTTAATGCAAATGTCTAAAATTTAAGGGGGGGGGCGGAGCATTTTGTCTAGCGGCAAGGTTACGCTTGAACCTGTTAGTGTTGCATTGATGAGAACAATTCCTGAAAGAGTCTTTACTAATTTGCTAAAGTGGTGCTGGTGCATTGGAGTCGTAGAACCTTTACGTCCTCGCCATCCACTCCTAACCAAGCAACATGATGTCTGAATATAGACCTGAAATATTGACACCCTTCTCCTCTACCACAAAGAAATGTTACAGTATATTCTTTCCTCGCTCATACTCGGTGTTTGCACTTTCTAAGCTTTTGTGTTGGTGGGCTAACTACGCCCTCAACACGTCCCTCCAGAGACAAGCCACAGAAAAATAGAAAGAGAATATCAAATGAGGGAGGGATGAGGTGATACATCATTTGTTTTCTTCATGGAACAGAGTGGTTGCCTCTGCTGAATACTAAATAATGACTACAATACCTTGTAATACACAAACAAGATACATTTTCTCCTCAGGCAATGTATTCCAGAAAATATTTCCGGCCCTAAAGCCAGACACGGATGAGATACGTTTCAAAGCACGGCGTGTTCAAATAAAAATGAAAGCTGCTGCCCGGCCTCGGAGAGAAGTGAAAACAGAATTTTGAAGCTGTATATATCAAGACCTAAAAGTGTGGCTGCTCTGAGAAGATTTCTCATTTTGTTCCGTCTGTTTTTTTGTTTTATGAGAAACTGATATTGCACAGCTACTGATGGTGACGCTGAGTCAGTATCATTCAATCAGTCAAGTGCTAAGATGTTTTTTTTTATCCCCGACCGTATCGTTGCTTCAAGGTTTCCTTCGTTAACAGAAGATGCTGACCGCTCTTTTTTTATGCTGCTAAAGCATTCTTGTCTCCATTGCTCATCGCTGGGCGAAGGATCACTTTAAGTGGTACACGTTTCAAACGTGGCCCCTTCACTTTCCGTTTCATTTCCTGTTTTCAAGCAATCAATAGGCTGTTTATCCATCATGCTTAACAACGCTGTCTTCATTAGACGTCATTTCCCCCCCACCACGGGTTTTTTGCTTGCTTCTTACTGCATTAACTTCCAGTTAAGACATTAAAAAATATTTTAGATATAGGAATGCTTTGTTAGAGAGTAAAGCAAAATCAGAGTCTTGGTGATACATAATTTCTTATTAGATTTATGCTAAAATATTTTTAAGAGGAGCGCGGTATTAGGAAATTACCATGCTTCCATTAAAATGGTTTAATTCACACAGCCCATCCATCAACTGTCTCTTCAATCTGATGAAGTTTGACTTGCAGAAACTTCTGTAACTTCTATAACACCAAAACCAAAAAAAATAAGTATATACCTGTGTATATACCATACAATAAAAACAGTCATGCAATATGCAATATGATATGACATGATATGATTATCCAATGATGGATGGTATGATATAAAATGCCAAAAAAGTGGTACAATGTGAAATGATACAATACAACATGAAATAAAGAGATCCAGACAATACAACTTTAGTACAATATGAGATTTTATGTTATGATATGATACAATAGACACAGTATAAAAAGATACGTGTCATACAATAGACACAGTACAATATAATATAATACAATGTGATATCCAGCCTATTCATTTATGTCCACTGTAATGAACATTTGTTTTTGCTCTCTATTATCATCACATCACATTTATATCAAGTCTTGATGTGCTCAACAGAGGAAATCGTGGCCTTTCCAATGATATCTCATGTGTTTGGCCTCTTTTCGCTCTGAAGAGGAAGAAATATCAAATACTTTCTTCATCCCATATTTGGGAAATGCCTTTAGCGTACTAACTATACTTACTTACTGCAAACAAATGGCTGCTTATTTAGCCATGCCTGTATATAATATTCTGTTATGCAAGAAAGCTATATTGTTATTGTTAAAAACAAGTAACCACACTCTCACCAATGAATTAGAAGGCTCACAGCTCAAGATCATTTTCAACACAGACACAGTTTAGTCTCTTTATTGATCGCCCACAACAACCAATATATTGTTGTTGTTGTTTTTAAAATGCTAAAAGTCAGATATAAAATTATACAATTTTAATTTTTTAATTCAAACAGTCTCTCTCCCTTTCTCTCTTTCTCTATACAGGTGAGGGAGGAAGGGTGATGGACTACAATCCCGATGCTTCAGATCGCAGGGCCACCCTCCCCGGCACCTATGACCCTGTAGTGGAGCGAGAGCTCCGCACTCTGGGTTCCCGACCTCCAGGGCCTCATTTGGATCCCACAAACCCAGCAAGGCAAGGCCTCGGTGGGGGTCCTTCTGAGGGGGCCCCCCCTGTCCGTCACCTGGGTGTGGAACCACTCATCCGAGCGTCTCACGCTAACCTTGCCCGGCCCATTCAGGGGTCAGAGGAAAGTGTTTCCGTAGGCAGCGACTACTATGGGAGCATGTTCAGCCTGTACAGAGGGAGAACATTTTCTATGCCATTATAGCACATGGCTTTTTAATTCCCAGGATTTCCCCCAAAAAGCAAAAAGACTGCCCAGAAACCCAAATTGCAATGAAAACTGACTCATACGGCAAGACATTATATCCTCCATAGACCCAACTGGCAAAAACTTTATTCCATTTGCTATACAATTTGTTATTCATTTTTTACTCTTCTTTATATATTCCCATTTTTCCATATAGTGTACTTTTTTATTTTGATGTCACACTTTCCTTCGACTCTGCGTGCCATCAGTGTGGATTGATTTGAATCTAACAATGATTACAAGCCAACAAAATAACAATGTTAATATTAATATTTCATATAGCCATTAGAAAGGATGCACTTGTACAATCTTCTAATATAATATATTATTCAGCACTTCTGAAAACTGTGATTTTTACCCACTGCATGTTTTCTACAGCCGCCCCTCACTTTTGGATTAACACCATATGTTTATAGGTTTGCAGTGGCATGCATGGGTTGCTTTGATCCGAGCTGATATTAGCATGAGTGTTCTCACCGAGTAATTATCATGTGATTCACAGGTTATTTTTAGGCATGGTGTTATTGTGTTAGAAGTTTAAGCAGGGGTGCTTTTTTTGATTTTCGTAGGAGTTTATGTTCTTATTTTGTAATATTGTTGGTGCAACATGCCAACAACAGCGGTTATTGCAGTTTTAGGGTTAAGGTCTTAAGAAGTCTCAATCTCAAAATTTCATTACATTTGTTTCTCTGCCATTTGATTTCACACTGTCTGATGTGTTGCTCATTACCTGATACAACACAGAAAGCACATGCGAAAACACAAAGAACTCAAACATGATGAGACAAAATGACACAAACGGACATTTATCTGCATCTTATTACTCCTCCAAAGCCTTCGCCACTGCACCAGAGCTCTAACTTCACCCCTCCATTATTTCCCCTCAATCCTTACCCCTCTAGGCTTCAAACTGCTGATGAATCACAGGGCCTGTCCTCCTATGTCCCCCTGTCTTCCCCCCAGCCACCTCTTACCACGCACAAAAACAGCATCAGTACACAAAAACAAGACTCGGGCAAAGTCAAACCTTTAGGTCCTCAAACTTCTAATACGGGCCAGTCATCTGGCACCAACAGTGCAGTTATGACGCCCAAACTGGCTCGTGCAGGACCCAAGATCTTTGACAAGGTCCTTGCCTTTGAGGAGCGAAGGGTGGATCTGCCACGAGGGGCAGCTTCCTTTGAATCAGATGAGAGTGGAAAGAAGACAGGAGGCCCGAGCAAAGATGAGAGTCGAATACTGCAGGGTGCAGCCCAGAAGAGAGCGGTATTCAAGCAGAGGGCCTCTTCATTAGAGGACAAGACAAACTACTCCCAGAGGATCCAGAATTACCAGAGCAAGTTCACAGAAGAGCTCCAGCGGATCAAGAAGCTTGTGGGGAAACCAAGCTTGAAGAAGGCATATTCAACTGAGCAGCTGTCACAGAAAGACAGGCTGCACATGGGGAAACTAGAACCCATTCCTGCCCAAGTAGTTAAAAAGTTAGAGGCGAGGGAGCGAGTCCTAGAGGAAGGAAAAGTTGGGGAGAGGGAGGGGGGCAGCATATGGAAGAATTCTCAGCAGGCCCAAGGCAAAGACCCGGGGAATCAGAGCAGCAGCTCCGAAAAGGAAAAGATGACACAGTCAGATTTGCACGGGAAACCAGTAGATAGCGCAAGGAAAATCTCTGTTACCACGGCAACGCCACCAGTTCACCAGTTACCAGGACAACCATTGCCAATAGCTACAAAGACGAGCCTAATCAGGTTTGAAGAAGATTATCTTTACTTGTGAAATTTTCTCTTAAAAAAAGATTCCAATATGATCATATTTGTATATTTTTCTTTGAGGGATTTGAAATTTCTTTTAAAAAACAACAACAAAGCACTTAATGGAAATTAAGAGTTTTAGACATGTAATATTTTTTCCCTCACTTGTTATATTACATAACAGCTTTCTCATCTTTTGCATGCAGGGAAACCCTACAAAGCTCTCTGGCAGCTGACACACTTGTTAACACATCCCACAAATCTTCATCCTCCTCCAGAGTTGATTCAAAGAGAGACACCAACATGGACAACAAGGCGGACCACCGATCACCAGCCCCAACAGGGAAGAGAGCATCCCCAGTAACTGTAAGGGAACCAGGACCCCAGTTCCCACCCAAGCCTCCTCGGCTCACCCCATCACCCAATCCTTCCATCAGCCCGCTCCTAAAACGAAGGAAGGCGGAGGTGGGGCGGACATCTCCGGCCATGAAAGTGAACATCCCCACCATCCTGGTGGAGGATGAACCCATGGAGACAGAAAGTGTTCCACACAGGAGCAACGAGGGAAGGAAGAGGGAGGGCAGAGTACACAAGAGCAAAAAAGGCCGTTCTGCTCAACGGAAGTCTGCAGACGAAGGTAGGTGATGCTTTACGAGTGTTCTAGATAAACGTGTTTGTAAAAAATCCAAGCAGCATCCATCGCAGATGAGAGTCTGGAACTGGATGAACACTTTAATCATTTTGGGAGCCATTAGGTTCCTGCCTGTGGCTTGAGTGACCCAACTGTTGTCCAGTTCGTTTCTTTACACAAATAACAAAACAAATACAACCACCTTTTGTTGTCCCTTTAGAAGTCTTTGAGGCTTTATCCATGGATTTCTGCTCAACTACCAAGTCTACCAAGTTGCCAGGCTTACAGTACTATTTTCATAAATGTTCCCATTTGGCAGGTCAAATAAAATAAAATATCTAGACAAAGTGGTAGAAGGGAACATAATGACAACCATAACCCTAACAAAAGAGCACTAGGAAGCTGGTGGATCTTAAGAGATTAAATAACTCCCTTAGCCCTAAGCTAAAATTTTTTGCTATCATATCTGATTAAAGGTTTTTGTTCTGTTTCACCTTTGACCACCACTGAGTGAGATTATTAAAAAACAAACAAACAATTTAAACTGTAAAAAGATCAGGACCTACACACACAACACTACCCCTATGAAAAATGATAAGTTTAACTACCAGGGGTCAGAGAACTAGACTTTTTAGGGTTGTGACTTCACTCTTAAAGAACGTAAAGTAATATTGGGTGTTTGTTTGCTTCCCATTTTAACAACTTTTGCTTCTTTGTGCCTCATTTGTGGCTTTAAGATCTGAAACACAAAAAGAACTTATTGGAGATTTATTACCTTTGCTAGGCTGTAAGTCCCCGAATAAGAAAAACATGCACATAGAAATAAAAAATACAGATTACAAACTAAAAAGGAATGATCAAAAGGTTGAACTTATATGTATATATATATTTG